CGCCCGCCTGTCCCCACACTCCCCACTCCACTCTAGTCCCCCGCCACACACACACGCGCACACAGTACAGCACGGCATAGTACCACCTCAATTACGGCAAGTGCAACAGCAGCACCTTGCCACCTTCACAAGGAAAGAAGCCCTTCTACCACAGCCAGCCTTTTTGCATCTCCTACCCTCCTACCCCTGCACATGGACACATATACACAAGCCTAATGAAGATTTGCAGCTCCCAAAGTTCCTATTAAAAAGCAACACGAGTCGTGCATTAATACATTTCACAAGCAGCCTCTGCAACACTTCCTTGCCTCGCAAAAAAAAGTGAGCAAACACACAGGAAAAGGAAAGTAAAAGAACGTAGTAAGAGTATAGTAAAAAAGAGTATGGTGAGCTGTGCTATCAAAATACATTGTTACCGCCTAGCCGGGTGGCCTGGGCAAGAACCTTCATAGTCATGTTTCCGCCGTTTTACCTTCTCCACGTTACTACTATATCCCCGAACCCTCTACTTGACCTCCAGCTCCAACTTCAAGTTCATGGCTGCCAGCTCCGTGGCCAGGTAACGGAACACGTACGGCAGCGCCACCCGCTCAATGGTGGCGGAGCTGTCGGGTGCGCACTGCGGACACACGGTCTTGCCGCTGCTGTCCGCCACGGCCCCGCGCAACATCAAACCCTGCGTGTGCGAGTAGGAAATGGCGGGGGTGCACGCGTGTGTGTTTTGCGTAGGCACGCGTCGTAGCGGAGGGAGAAATAGTAGCGTTGTGCTAATTTAACGAGTGGGTGAGTGGTGGCTGGGTGCGGAGTTGCGGGGAGGGCGAGGGTAGGTGTTATTAGGATGCTTCGACTTTTCCGGGTATTATTAAAGTTGGCACCCCCGCCAAGAAGCGGCTCCGGCCGGGCGCGGCGCCATCTACCGCCCCCCCCGCTCTTTCCCTCCTCCCCTTCCTCCTCCCCCCCTCCCACAAGCAGGCACCACCCCTGGCGGCCGCACTCACCGTGGTGAGAGCCGCATTGGCCGCGGCCTTCCGCAGCGGCGCCAGCATACTCCCGCAGCTCGTGCACACATCCGCCACGTGGTAGTCGGAGCAGGCGTGGAGCCGGTCGTGGAAGAGGTAGGCCGCGCCGTGAGCCAGCAGGGAGTCGCGCTCCATCTCGCCAAAGCGAATGCCACCACCGAAATTTTCGGCCCTTGATGGGTTGCCTTGTCAAGTTGTTGATGGGGCCTGTGGAACGCACCTACGGGAGTATGTGTACGGCAGTGAGAGGGAGGAATAACGTAACCGTCGGAAGTCCTCAGGGCCTTTCTAGGGGGGAAGCCCCCTCCCCTTCCCAACGGAGTGGTTTGAGGGGGGGGGGAGACGAACCACGAACGAGTGAAGCTGCTGCCAAGGAAAGAGGGGGAACGCGGCACCGAAACCACGTTACGAAACCCTCCTGGGCACTGGGCGGGAGGGCGGGAGGGAGGGCTGCACCGGGGGACAGGGGGACACTGTCAAGCCCTTCCCTCGACTCCTATCTGGGTGGGCAATTCTCCTACCTGCCCCCCATTCCCGGGGCACTTATAGAGCCAGCCGGAATGCCCGAATGGAATGATTACGCTGCTCCTTTTTTTAATAACTTTAACATTTTATGCCTCCGGCCCCCCCCCAAAAAACTTCCACCCTCCCACCCTCCCGCCCTCTCACCCACCTGGAACTTATCAGACACCATGTGACGCAACCGCTGGTAGTACACGGGCCCTATGAAGATATCGCACGGCATCTCCTGCCCCGTGACCCCGCTGATCATGGTCTCCTGGCCGTACCGGGAAAACCCCTGTCGCTCCAAATACTCACCCCACCGCTCCACGGGGTTACCTGCCGGGGGAAGAGAGGAGAAGTAAGAGGTCCGGAATCCGGAATTTTTTCCAGTCTGGGATTTTCCCCACTGCCACCAAAAGCACCAGAGGTGGAGTCCAGGGAGCGGAGGGGGAGAGGGGAAATCATAGGTTGCAAGAAGCGTATGAAGGGCCCGGACTGCCGACCAACGTCCAAAGCAGCGCAGCAGCACCTGTCTTGACACTATCGGGGGGCCCCTAGCCCGCCGTTTCCCGGGGCCCCTTTTCCCCCCCGCCCCTCTTGTCACCTCCTCCCTTCTCCATTGCCCCCTCTCCCCAACTACTCACCCTTCTCCACCCCGTCCGAGCGCTGGAACGGTGAGGCGTCCACAAATTGCCCTGCCAGTGCTCCTCCCTTGGACACCAGACTCTCCACCAACATGCCAATCGTCATGCGGGAGGGGAAGGCGTGCGGGTTAATGATCAGGTCGGGCCGGATACCTGCCGGGGGGGGGGGGGAAAGAGGAGACGGGGGTAAGACGAACCACAAACGCAGAAAAACGAGTGAAGCTGCTGCCAGGGTAGGAGGGAGAGGAGAGGTCATCCAGTGATGGCGAGTTATCTTCTTGTCGTACAAACAGGCTCCCTCCCTCCCTCCCTCCCTCCCTCCCTTCCTCCCCTCTTCCCTCTCTGTCATAGGCATATGTACTGCGCACACCACAACTCACCCTTCACACCGCCTCCATGGGAACCCCCGCGGGTACATCCCCCCCGGCCTTCTACTGCGTTTAACGCTTCCGTACTCCTCGTACGGCACCCCAACCTCCGCGTGGTTTCCCGTTCCCGGTCTCTCTACTACACCCCCACCCCCCACCCCACAGCTTCCCTGAAGCCCCTGCCGCACACACGCACCCGTAGACGCGCAGAACGGCATGTCCACATCAGGCCACAAGATGGACAGCACACCCTTCTGGCCGTGACGCGATGCGAACTTGTCTCCCACCACAGGGTTTCGGTTGAACAGCAACCGAATGTTCGCTTGTACGGGCATCTCAACCGATGACTGGGCACCCATTCCTGCCCCCCTGGATCTGGTGGCGACACTGCCGCCCAAACCAACGAGCGTCACC